AGGGGGAAAATGAGGAGCTGATACCAAGGGCTCAAGTAGAAAGCAAATGTTTGAGAATGATGATGGCAACAAATGTACAAATGTGCTTGACACAAAGGATGGATGTATGGATTGTGATAAGAGTTGTACGAGGCCCCAATAAAATGATTAATAAAAAAAAAAGGGACCAGTTAGTGCTGTCCACTGCACATAAACGTGACTGTGTGACACTTTACATTGTATAGAAACTTCGTCTCTGCTCCCCTGAGATGAAAACCAGACCCCCTCCAAGATGGCTGCGCCCCTTGCTTGTCGTACGGGACCCCAGGTTCCCTAAGAGCAGGCAGCTGTGGGTGGGAGAGGGCAGGCCCAGCAGGAGAAGCCACTGGGCCAACATGGCCTCGAGCAAAAGAAACTAGGGTAATATGCCCCCACAACCAAATAAAGAAGTTCCTGCCACAGGCCTGCACATGGGAACACTGAAGGGAGGCAGCATGAGCAGCTTCACCCGACTCGGCGCGGCCAGGAGGGCCACTGGCCGGCTCCAACAGACGCCTGTCCTCAGCCCAAGTATTGACCTCTGACCCCACGTCTTGGACAGGGACTTTTAAGCGGAGAGAATACTGAAACGATGCTCACCTATCAGAAGGCGGACTCTGTATAAGTCGGATTTCTGGAGCAGACTTTGGAGCTTGGCTTGCGTCCCGGTCACTTCTGCACCCTTGCCGCTGGTGCTGGGCGTCTGCTGCAGCACCTCCTCCAGGTACAGGAGAGCGAGCTGAGTGTGATATGCTTCCTTCTGCAGAGAACAGGGAGGGATCCAAGCTGACAAAGAGCATTGGCAGTGTGTGGGCCTGGGGATCTCTCAGGGCAGCTGGAGCGCAGACAGGCTGAGGCTGTGCCGGGGCCGCCGGAGCCAGGACACGCGCACCCGTGACAGACCACCACACACTTGCTGCCCCAGAACCCTCTCAGAGATCAGGCCACCCAGAAGATGACTTTATCATCTTGGGGAAGACAGAAAGAGGTTTTCTTCGAAACAAGGATTCTCATTTGGAGGAGTGCAGGGCACCAGAATTAAGTGGTCTATAATAGGATGCAGCTTCTCTCATTTCCTCTAGGAGGGACGGAGAAGGCGTGCAGGAAAGGGGAAGGAAAACAGAAGCTGGGTTCCCTCTTTCCTACCCATTCTCCCTTCACCCTCCCTGTTTCGCCACTCACACCACTGGTCCTATAGGGCTCATCTGTCCTGGATTCCCTGTATTTTCAGTTCCTATCTGTACCAGTGTACCTCCTCTGGTCTAGCCAGACTTGCAAGATTGAATTCGAGTCATGGAAAGAGGGAACCGATTACATGGAACTGTGTGTGACCTCCTCCCTGGGGGACAGACAGCCGAAAAGTGGGTGAAGGGAGACGTCGGACAGGGCAAGATATGACAAAATACCCATTTATAAACTATCAAGGGCTCATGCGGGAGGGGGGAGCGGGGAGGGAGGGGAAAAATGAGGACCTAATGTCGGGGGTTTAAATGGAGAGAAAATGTTTTGAGAGAAACGATGTACAAATGCACTTTACACAATTGGTGTGTGTATGGATTGGGATAACAGTTGTATGAGCCCCTAATAAAATGTTTTAAAAAAAAGAAAATAGAAGCTGGGGAGAGATGAGATGGAGGGTGGGAAGAAAAGCTACTTGTTCCCAGGGACTGTCTCCCCCAGCCTCAAGGCCCTCCTCCCCTTCAGACCATCAAAAAGTACAGGCTGAGCTCAAGAGCCATTTGCCCCAGGGTTAGAGTCTCCTTCCGTCTCTTAGATGACCATAGTGACCTGACAGCTGCACGCAGGTCTACCCGCCTGACACACTCACCTGCAGCCTTCTGTCGATAACTAGGTGTTCCAGATATTTCACAAGGGCTTTCGGGTATTTTTTAAGGCAATTGATGATATCGTCTGGATTGAAAGTGTTCTTCTGCTGTTCATCCAAAGGTCTCTTGGTGAAAACTTGAACTCCAACCTGAAACAGGAGTAGCGCTATAATGTTACAATGCTTCTCAAAGTTACTACTTCATTGGGGGTTTGGTCACTGCTCATATGAGCCGTGGCAAAAAAGCCATCCATCAAGACACTGGGATAGAGTGGGGCAGTAACAAGGGCCGGAGTGAAGAGGTAGGGAAGGCAGCCTAAATCCTGAAGCCCTCTTCCTATATCCCCCTGGGATTTAACAGATGCTCAGATTCTAAAGAAGGAAGCACTGTTGACATCCTGTTTTGCAAACTAGGAGGACAAATTCTCAATATTAAAGGTTACCAGAAACCAAGGAGGGTCACTTGCTATCAAGTGCAATGAGAGGCTGTTTTAAAATCCTGGAGATTCAGGGTGGTTAACCCCTCGTTCTCTGAACAGTGATGATCTACCATGTGCCTGCAGTGACAGATACATGACCAGTCTCGAGTGGCCCTGCTGGTCACTGGACAAGATCACCTGGCTGCCTTCCTGCAGTGATCAACTGGGCCAGTCTAAACAGGGAAGTAGGGAAACGAACCCATGCCACCTCACTTGAGCCCTTATGCGTGTGCACGCCATATGTCTCTCTCTCTCTCTCTCTCACACACACACACACACACACACACACACACAGAGAAAAATAACACAGCTGTTATGTGTATGGATTTTGGGTTGGGTTAGCCTGGATATGTGACTCAACTTCAACTGTATGACCTTGGGAAAGTGCCTTGACCTCTCTGAGCCTGTTTTCCTATCTGTAAGTCATATCCATCCTATGGGGCAGTGCTCCTGCTGGTAGTGGATTTTGAGTCAACCCGGACTCATGGTGACCCGGGTGTGCAAAGGAGAGAACTGCTTTATTGGGTGTTCAAGGCTGTGACCTTGGGGAACAGAGCAACAGGCCTGGCTTCCAAGAAGCCTCTGGGCAGTGTCGAACCTCCAACCTTTCCACTCTCACTTAACTGGCTGTACCACCGAGGGGCACCCATGGAGTCAAGATTGATGTTTCAAAGGGACAACACATGTGAAGTGCCTGGTACATGGACTGGTTCGCAGAAGGCAGTCAAGGCCAGCTGGTACCCTATGTTAGCACTGGGTCAAGTCTAAACTAATGATTCTTTCAAACCTGTGATGGAGGACATGTGGGGCTGTGCTCCGCATGTGTGCACAGGGCAAAGCACAGGTGGGGTAAACGATGCCCAAGGCACACGGTCACTGGCCTTCTACCTCCCTGTTAGGACGGTGGCATGGGAATGTATTTCACTTCTTTTTTTAAAAAAAATCATTTTATTGGGGGCTCGTACAACTCATCACAATCCATACATCCATCCATTGTGTCAAGCATATTTGCACATACGTTGCCATCATCATTCTCAAAACATTTGCTTTCTACTTGAGCCCTTGGTATCAGGTCCTCATTTTCACTTCTAACTATAGAAAGATAGACACAGGAGCAATCCTTAGGACTCCACATCAAGGTCCAGCGTCAGAAAGCAAGTTTTGCCACTCAGGAGTCAGTCAAGGAAGCGCACAGAGATCTCTTTAACTGTGAGAACTGAACTGTCATCTTGCCTCCAGCCGAGGGATTCTGTCACTCTGGCCGGCACATACTGCCTCCCCTTTAGCCTCTAACCACAGTCCGCACTTTTCTAGGGTCATCACCCCCTGGTCCTCCAAGAGGAGCCGAGTCCTGGCCACAGCATCCTCCCTTCCTCCAGACCCACAGCACCCACGAAAGGGGTGGCGGGAGAGCAGAGCAGAAACAGGGGCAGTGGCTTGTCTTGTGTTGAAGCTTTCTCCTTCCAAGGATCAGACATTGTTAAGTCACCTGCTGCATCCCACAGAAGACAAAGGGCCCAACTTCAGTGAGGGGTGGTTTCACACCCGCTTAACAACCTTAGCAAGTTGTTAAGAACTTGCTAGGAAACTGTCCTGGCTTAACCTCGGCTAGCAGGAGGACCTGCCTAGAAAGAAGATTTTGAAGAGCGCGGAAGACTGAAGAGTCTCAGAAGCACAGACAGACAGGACTTCCGGGGGAGCTGGCATTCATACGGTTCAAGGGAAGGCACTGAATGACGCACTGTGCCGTGCGGGGTGATGGGAAAGGCTTGGAGATGGCTGCACCAAGTTGGATTTAACTAGTGTCAAGTAGAAAGTGCTCATGCGGTAAATTTTATGCCATCCATATTTTGCTACCATTTAAAAACTGCTTGGATGACAAATTTTTTTAAAATCGTTTTATTAGGGGCTCATACGACTCTTATCACAATCCATACATACATCAATTGTGTAAAGCACATTTGTACATTCATTGCCCTCATCATTCTCAAAACATTTGCTCTCCACTTAAGCCCCCAGCATTAGGTCCTCATTTTACCCTCCCTCCCCCTTCCCCTTCCCTTATGAGCCCTTGATAATTTATAAATTATTATTTTGTCATATCTTGCCCTGTCCGATGTCTCCCTTCATCCACTTTTCTGCTGTCCGTCCCCCAGGGAGGAGGTGACATATAGATCCTTGTAATCAGTTCCCCTTTCCTACCCACTCTCCCTCTACCCTACCAGTACGGCCACTCACACCGCTGGTCCTGAAGGGATCATCCGCCCTGGATTCCCTGTGTTTTCAGTTCCTATCTGTACCAGTGTACATTGGATGACAAATTTTAAGGTTCTCTATTCGACTGCAATAAAATGTTTCCCCTTGAAAAAGTGATAGGAAATAAAGCCTTTCCAAAGAGAAAGAAAGTAGAGGGGAACCAAGTTTTCTGCTGGTTTGCTCTGCCCAGGCCAGCGAAGGGCGCGGGTACAAAGCACGCACCTCCTCACTCTGCTGCAGCAGCCAGTCCGCGTGCTTCCACACCAGCGCCCCGTCTGAGCAGTAGGTCAGGAAGTCCACCACGTAGTCATACAGGTCGGAGCGTGTGGCGTCATGGATCTCTCCATTCACGATGTTCACCCACAGCTAGAGAGGCGGGGAAGAAGAGAGCAACAAGACATGGGAAGTGTCGTGCCTTTTCTTGTGTCTTTTGTCAAGTTACAGAGCTCTTAGAATTGGCTTAGGAAAGGGAAGGAAGCTCACTCACTTGGCCTTTTAAAAAATATTTCAAAGTAGGAGGAAACTTTTAAATGCTTAAAGCATTCCCCCCACCACCATCACCACTCTTTCCTGGTGGCACAGTGGTTTCATGCGTCAGGCTGCTAACCGCAAGGTCCGCACTTTCAATCCACCATCGGCTCTGAGTGAGAAAGACGAAGCGTTCGACTCTTGTAGTTCCAGTTTCGCAGACCCGTGGGGTGCAGTGCGCTGGGGGCAGGGGGTTACCCTGCCCTACAGGGTCACTCTGAGTCGGAAGTGACTCGATGGCAGCGCGCTTGTTTAGAGAAATCAGCAATACTGAGGTTATGGCTCAGGAAACTGAAAAGAAACCAAGCACCATGTGCTTTTTCTTGCTTTCTGTTTTCAATGGCATCACAGTAGTGCAATAGTAAGTCAAATGTATGTGGAGAGGGGCGGGCACAAAAAATGCTTATTCATGAGAGAGACAAGCTACTGCTGGCGATGTCTAGCCTCAGAGAGAAGCCATCTGCCCACCGCTGCCAGCTGAGTGCCGCTTCCCACTTGCCCACCACGGGACTTGGTGGCTGCAGTCCTTTGTAGACTGTGACGGTAAGATGTTGCGGCTTTGACAAAGCTTGGTGCTTCGGCCACCTATAGCTCCAGCTGTCTCTTTTTGCTACTAGTTATTCTAACAGCGGAAAGTCTACCCTGCTATGCAATCGGCTGACAAGCCAGTGATTATGTGCCTTGTCGGCTGGTGAGAAACCGTGTTTTTATCTTCTGCATTTTCAGGAACTCTGTCTTGGTGGTGTTATTTAGAGAGGTCTAAAGACAAAATACAAGAAATCCTCCTGGGCACCACTTCACCAAGAAACCTTCTTACTATTTTGCAGGTCCTGTAAAAAACACGTGCACTAAGTCACAGAGTTCAAGGCACCAGATTGTAAATCAAGCTAAGAGGGACTAACCTGAAGGGCAGCGGCGTCTTGGTTATTGTAATGGTAAAGCAGTCCAAGTGCAAAGTACCTGCAAGACACCAACACGGTCAGCACAGTCTCTGCCTGCCATCTGCTGTGGGCAGCCCCCAACTAACACACCCTGGCTCGGGGCACTCCTTATTTCTGCCCGCCTGGGGCTTGCACGGCCAACTTGGGATGTTCCATTGTGCTGATTTATGTGTAGTACCGGCAGTCCCCGGATTATGAGAGAAGGTAGTTGTGCTAAGTTGGAACAGTAATGTATGGCTAATATCTAGCTTTGGTTAAATGTCTGTTTTAGTATCTAGTGTACTTTACAAGACACAAAATATGAAAGAACCCCTTCCAGATATAATAGAACATCTTTAACAATAAGGTTGCAATAGTAATGTTTTGATGTGCGCTGCTAAGTAGTGCCTGACTGTTATTCTGAGCCATTGTGTGTCCCTAGAACATCAGTACGATAGGTTCTACAAACCACTTTGGGTTGCTGGTTTGTACGTTGAGCTGGCTGTATATAACCAAGGGACTGAGTGTGCTGATAAGTTATGGCTTATCAATTTCCCAAAAGGTTCACACTCTAATCTAAGATATGCTGAAACAAACAAAAAAACCTAAAATTATATGTGAGGAAATTACATATGGGATTGCTTTCTAATTTGCTTAACTATTAATACAATTCCATAGCTCTTCAGTTAAAATGATTAGCCTGTCATGAGCTAACAGAAAAATACTTGGAAGGCAGAGTACCTGCCAAGGGGTGAGGGATAAGAACTTGGACAACGGCGGTAACTGCCAACATGGCCCAGGTGTCACAGAGGGAAAGGCAGGGGAGGGCATCCAGGATTCAAGGACCTGAGTTTTAATTCAGGAGCCCTGGTGATGTCATGGTTACTCACTGGGCTGCTAACTACTAGGCTAGCAGTTTGAAACCACCAGCACTCCTCGGGAGAAGGATGAGGCTTTCTATTCCCCTATAGAGTTACAGTCACAGGGACAGTCTACCCTACCCTATAGAGTCACAATGAGTCAGCATCGACTCAAAGGCAGCAAGTCTGTTTTCTCTGGGTTTTCAGTACTTACAAGACATGTGATTAGCTTCCAAAACCTTGACTTCTGCAATGATAATGGGGAAGGTTGGTGGTAACATTGGCATTGCCCAGGCAGTGCGCCTCTATCAGGCTTCCCAAGTTCTGCAGTGTCAAGCACCTGGCCTTCCCCCTTCCCAGAGGTAACTGGACTCAGCTCACCAATCCAGCGAGATGCCAGACCTCTCTCCCCTCAACAAGCAAACACTCCAGTTGTTGAAGTATTGGTGTGAACCACTCTCTTTTCTTTAACTGTTAAGAAAGTTGTCACATTCGCTCTCCAGGTCCCACCATCCCAAGTCACTAACACAAGACAACAGTGCACGCTCTGGCTTCTAAACAAAATAATGATGTCCCTGGTGGTGCTGACCGGTAAACCATGCTTGACCTCCTACCCTGAAAGATGGCACCTCAGAAGAAAGGCCTGGTGATCTGCGTCTAAAAGGACTCACTCTTGAAGGAGCACAATCCTCTGCACACGTGGGGCCACCACGAGTCACAGTAAGATCAGTCCATAGTATATACCAGTAACTCCACGAGTCAGCACCCACACGGAGTCCAATTACAGAACTGGCTCATACCAGGGTAAATGAACAGGAGCTGGCTTAGAAGCCCTGGTTCTTCATGGGATTCCTGGGTTTTAGCCAGTTCAAATTCATACCAAGAAAAACCTCACCAAAACTCTTATTGCTTAATGAAAACTAGGAAATCACTCAAACCCTTCATTTCCCATTAACCTTTAAAAATGAAGGGCTTGGGTGATTCCTGAATTAGATGAAGAAACTGAGGGCTAGCCACGTGATGCTACTTATTTGCCCAAAGAAAGCTGCCTAGTCCAATCAACTTAGCTAGTATGTATTTAAGTGCCCAGTGCACAGAAAGTAATGAGTTTAAGAAAAAAATTAAAAACTACTGCCATCCAGTCAATTGGTTGCACTATGAGGTTAGCATTGGGCTTGCCAACCATAAGGTCGGTGGTTCGAACACGCCAGTCGCTCTACAGGAGACAGATGAGGTTACAGGAACTCCTGTAACAGTTCATGGCCTGGGGTTGCTATATGTCAGAATTGACTCAAGGGCAGTGGGTTTGGTTGAGGGTTTATAGGACACAGTAGACATGCCCCACAGAGCTCCCAAGGCACAAATCTTACAGAAGCAGACTACATTTCTCTCCCATGGAGTGGCTGGTGGGATCAAGCCCGCTGACCTACCAGTTAGCAGCTGAACACTTAAACACTGTGCCTTCAGGACTCCTTAGCATTTGGGTGGGCACCCCCGGAGTCATACAAAGAATGAAGAAATAGTTTTGAACCATTATCTTTTATTCAACACAATCCAATTAACTAACTGTGGAGTCGATTCCAGCTCACGGCCACCCTCCAGGACAAGGTAAAGTAGCCCCTCTGGGTGGCCGAGAAGATAATCCTGTAAGGGGGTAGAAAGACCGGTCTTTCTCTCAAGAAGCAGTTAGTGGTCTCAAACTGCTGACCTTGAGGTTACTGCCCAATGTGCAACCACCACATCACCAGGGTTCCTAAAAGAATCCAAAAGCCTCCCCTTTTTTTAAACCTACTTCTCTTCAGCTTGGCTACCTACCAATCACTAATGTGTACCATTCATTTTATTAACACGAGTGTGGTTTCTTTCATTCGTGATTCCTAGACCGAAGAGGGAGGAAACCTCCGAATCATTCCATCCCCTAACAAAGCCTATTTCTAGTTCCAGACTGTTTAAACCAAAGCCAAATTCACTGCCACTGAGTCAATGCTGACTCATAGCGACCCTCTAGGGCAGGTTAGAGACACCCTGTGAGTAAGTGAGACTATTTCTGGGAGTAGAAAGCCCAACTTTCTCCTGTGGGTGCCCTGGTGATTTTGAAATGTCGACCTTGCAGATCGCAGCCCAAAGTACGACCACTATAGCACCAGAGATCCTCCAAACTGTGTCCGACACAAGAAAGCACTGTCTTCAGTGCGAATGCCCTCCAAGACCTTTTCGACTGGTCTGCGGCCACTGTGGGGGCAGCACCCTGCTCCTGTTGTGCTGATTTCATGGCAGCCACCCGGTAAATCTCTTGGGAACACACACATCACAGGGGCACAGTAAGCTCTGGGGACTTCACGAACGGCTGGCTTCCTAGCAAGGGGCAATGGATGGAGGAGGGCTGGGCGGGTGGCGGCAGTGGGGTCGTACACAAGGAGAAAATCCTCACTTTTTGTGTTTCTCTAGCCAGGCGGCGCTGTCAGTGAGCAGACAGAAGTTCTCCGTGACCAGGAGGTCCAGCAGACTGTCATGGTCTGTCTCCGCATACAGCTTGAGCAAGGCCGTGTCGATGTCTTCCCTGTAGCCGTTTGCTCCCTCCGTGCTGCGGACTTCATTCAAGTAGCTCATGAGGAACCGCTTGCACTGGGCCATCTTCTCCTGGTCCCCTTGGGTGAGCTGGTTCAGGTCTGCGTACTCATGGAGAGGAGGGTGAGACCGCATGAAGGAGGAGGAGGTAGGCAACAGGAAGGGGTAGAGAGAGATCAGCTCCCGGACATCAAGCTGGCCGCTTCTGCAATTACAGTGTCAAACTAAATGAAGCAAAAAGAGAGAAAGAGTACACGTAGGCACACAAAACAACACTGGATGGTGTGCACACAGTAGTGGTGAGCTGGGCATCCGGGCAAGTGCTGTAAAGCGGCCGTCCTCACTGGCCAGCTGCTCGAGCACCAGTTCAGAGCCACATGCCCCCGACAAAAGGCATGCCAATAACAGACCACTGAGGTGCCAAAACATCTGACACACTTACACGTCAAACTTAGCACTAGCTCAAACTCACTTTCATCCATTTGATGTGGACTCACAGTAACCCTACAGGGATGAAATGCCTCTGTGAGTTTCCCAGACCGCAACTCTTTATGGGAGTTGAAAGCCTCTCCCACAGAGAGGCTGGTGGTTTGAACTCCTAACCCTGTGGATCGCAGCATAACTCATAACCAATATGCCACCAGGGCTCCTGAGCTTCTGGGAAGCCGCAGCAAAGAAAGCAACACAGTGGATGGTATGTCAGGCTGTGCGGCTGTTCTGAAATGAATGCTTTTCCTAGTGCGAAAGGATAAACAGGTTTGCAGGGCTGTCCATAAATAAACGGCTTTGAAAGAAACAGCTTGTGATTTTCTCATCAATGATCTTACAATGTAGAAGCATTTGTGGGATTTTCCAGAGAGCTTCAGAGCATACCATTAGAAACCAGCTCTTGCCCTTCCTGTTTACATTGGTAGCAGTTAACAGCACCCTCAACCCTGGGAAGCTTCTTTGCTGCACAACTCTTGCATGCTTTTTCCAGACTAGTGACTGCCCATCATAGAAGCAAGGAAGCTATGGACTCTTCGACCCCTGCACTGGTGCGTAGGCCATCTGCCAAATGAAGAAAACGCTGGGCAGAGTTGGGGATAAGGGCAGGTAGTAAAATCTGGGGGGACAGACACATGGCCTATGTCCCTTGTAACCTAGGAGGCAAAGTTAAGTTACGCCCTTGAGTTCTATGTTGGGAAGGATTCTGAGAACGAGGCCCAGCTCGATGATATATTATTAGCAATGTCTGAGCATGAGCAGTTACCCCTTATTTCTGATTCATCCATGAATCAGTCTTAGGACACACACATGACCCGAGTGAGGAGGTCTGCAGCACCACCGGGACAAATCACAGTCTTACAGCCAAAGAACTTAGGTCCAAAGGATCTAAACCCAACATTGCTGATGTCCCGGGAACATCGAATGCTAGCACAGAATTCTCACTCAATGGCAACCAGTTTTACAAGTTAGGTAGGGCATCCTTTCTGGGTAAATGATTCCCGCTACACTCAGAATTCTGTGAAAGGGCACTAAACCTTATCCCTGTGGGCAGGCCTAACTTACATGCCTGAGGAGGGAGGCGAATATCCTACACAGTGATGCGCCACTGGTCCATTCTGAGGTTATGTACACCCTCTGTTTTAGATGGTTCTAAATGGGGCGGAATCTATTCTGGTGAGGCATTCTGGAAAATCACTTTATAGGCTGGGCTTTAGGAGGATATTTAAAGACTGTCCCAGCAGGTTTAACGTGACCTTTTCCAAGGAGGGATGAGCAGTCATGCGAGGGGCAGTGACCTCACTGGGCACACACGCATAAAATGCATGAGTCCCGGTGGGGCTGGGGGGGTGGGGGGAAGCAGGCTGAGAGCAAAGGAGTGTGGGGAGAACAGGCACAGGCTTCACATGTGTCTAGTTCCCCTTCCCCTCCTAGGTGAGAGAGAAGCGAAGCTCTGGTGGTGTAGTGGTTATGTGTGGGTGCTGTGATCTGCAAGGTCCGCAGTTCAAAACCACCAGTGCCTCTTTAGGAGAAAGAAGGGGCTTTCTCCTCACAGGGGGAGTTCTACCCTGTCCTGAGTGGGCACTGATGATGGCAGTGAGTTCTGTTTGGGTTTCGGTTGGTCCTGGGTGAGGAAGGGAGGTACCAGGGAGAGAACACCCATCAAAGAGTTGTCGACTGGTACAGGATTAATTCACACATCAGCAGGAACCTCCTAAGGGAAAGAGAGCTAAAATTCTGAATGGATCGTTTCAAGAGTATTCTGAGAGAGGAAAGTGTTCCATCCATTTCCCAGGAAGACCGAGACTCTTTTTCTAAACTCAGATCATGTTAACTCACTGCCATTCAGTCAATACCAACTCAGAGCGATCCATTAGGACAGGGTTGAACTGGCCCTATGAATTTCCGAGCCTATAACTCTTTACAGGAGTAGAAAGCCCCATCCTTCTCTTGCTGAGTGGCTGGTGGTTTCAAACTGCTGACCATGTGGTTAGCAGCCCAATGGGTAACCAGTACACCAATAACCAGGGCTCCTCCGATCATGTTACAGCTCTAGAGAAAAGGGAGAACAAACCATATCTCCCTAAGACTCCTCCATGTGATAGCAAATTCACGCTCTAGAATTCTCTTGGCTAAACAACCTTGAAGCCCTTAACCTCTTCTCACACACCTCCAGTATGTGTCCCTCAACAAACTCCCACCCGCTTCCTCTTAATACAGAAGGTTATATGAAGACTACTACGGGGAAGGGCAGACAAGTAGGGTGGCTAGCACGAAGGCCATTGTTACCGAGCAACCAGCACGAAGGCCACTGTTACATACAAGCATCACTATTCCGTGTGCAACACAGAAACATCATTCCACTACAACATCCCAGTTGAAATAGGTTTTGCCAGAGAGGACATCGTCGTAGACATGTGTAAACGAGGGAAAGTGCCACGAACCTCTTGCTACCGACACCTCAAATTACCTGAAGAGCTCTTTAGCTTCCAGGAACTGAAGTTGTGCAAACTGGATAAATCCCGCCTGCTGCAGAATCCGTCTGTACATGACCTGCAAGAGATGCGGGTTTAACTGCTTAGAGACCTTAAAACCATCACAGGAGGGGAAAACGGCATTTTAACTCCTATCCCAAGGTGAGGGTTAATTCTGATGCAGAAACATGAAGTTGCAAGTTCAGGTGAGTACAATATCAGGCATTATATAAAAACCAAAAACATCCGGCCACCTAGAAGCTCCTCTTCCTCTGTCACTCTTCTGCAATTGGAATCTTCCAGGAGCACTTCCCAAAAGATAGTCCTTAGGCACTAGGCTCAAACCTTTGAATGAATGAACTAACCAATGCGTAGCTTCCCTGGTCAACGCTGGAGAAATGCTGCGTCTTATGCCTCCTCCTTAGCCACTCACCACCGCGCTAACACATTAAAGTCTGAGAAGCCTGCAAGAAAAGGGCCGCCTGGAATCCAGTGTCACTCAAACCTCCTTGACCACAGAACCCCTCTGCTCTCTTGTTGCTGTTGTTATAGCTTTAGAGACCTTTACTGTTATTTTTTTCAATTGTGGTGAAAATACATACAGTAAAACCCTCACCAAGGCAAGACCCACAATTACAACCCAATGTGACCTTGATTTCATGTTTCAAGTTCTGCCACATTCGTTTCTTTCTTTGTCCAAAAGATTTCACTAGCTTTGACGCACACTTAGTGACTCCCCCCAAAAAACAAATTCTCCCTCTTCCTCCACCCCTCCCTCCCACCCAGAAAACCAAAACAAATGATCTGCCATCAAGCCCATGCCAACTCACAGCGACCCTCGAGGGCAGGGTTTCTGAGACGTTAACGCTACGTGAGCAGAAAGCCCTGTCTCTCTCCTGCAGAGGGCCTGGTGGTTTCGAGCTGCGGACCTTGCAGCGGGCAGCCCAGTGCACACACTGCGCGACCAGGGCTTTCATGCATTCATAATCTTTGGTTCCTGTATGTTAGCTTATTGACTGTGAGGAGGATCACTGTGAGCAGAGCCACCTGAGCAGTGTTGCATTCCGTGGTGCGGAGGGTTGCTATGAGTCAGAACTGACCCGACGGCACCTAACAAGGTACGCATGACATCATACAACGTTTGTCCTTTTGCAACTGACTTCTTGTGCTCAGCGTGTTTTCAAGCTACACCGTGTTGCCTCCGCCGTGCCTCAGGAAGGTCTCTCTCTCCTAATGGCTGAGCAGTAATTTGCTGTATGTCTATATAAGGAGCCCTGATGGTGCAAGGATGGTTAAACAATCAGGTGCTAACCAAAGGGGCAGCTGTTCAAAACCCACCATCTGCTCCACAGGAGAAAGACGAGGCAGGCTGCTCCTGTAAAGATGTACAGCCTGGGACACCCTCTGGGGCAGTTCTACTCTGTCCTACAGGGTCGCTGGGAGTCGGAATGGACTAGGGGGCAACTGCACTTAAAACAGAGGAAGGCCAACGCCGAGGAAGGCAGAGAACCCAAATAATTTCAACTAATGGAAAGTGATTTTTTTTTTTAAAGTGGTAAAGCTGCATCCTGACAAAGTGGGAAAATGGCGAGGACCAGGAAAGCCAGGCACTCCCCTCGGGATCAGCTCCCCAGACACTTCAGGTGTCTCTGCCTTTTGCCGTTCTCCAAAGACCTAGCCAGAGCCAAACACACTGTAAGACCTGTCCTGGAGCTCCTCCAGCCCCATGCCCTCCCTGCCATGGCCCCGGTGAGGCAGTGTTTCAGCTTTATCCGTCCTTCCTCTGAAACCCCTTCTGCTCCATCCACACTGCTTCTAGCACCACGGCTCAGGCTCCGCTCCCCTCCCCTCCCCTCACCACGAAAGCCTGTGTATTTCAAGTATTCACTCTGACTTGAGTTTCTCCCCCTCCAATCGCGCTGTGTCATCTGTCATAAATGACTTCTAGGGAAGGTGCGTGGTTTTCCCCTCAGCGTCCTCACGCTCCTTGGACTGAGTACAGCCGACGCAACTGAAGGACCATCTGATCGACTTTCATGAAGCTCCACTCACTCACGAGCCCCATTGGACAAGAAGGAAAATTCTGCTTAGAGATGGTAGAGTTTAGGCAGAAATTACGACCGACAGTGATAAGGCTCAAGTTGGGCCAGGGTCTGAAACCACATCTGATTCTTCCCACTCACTGGCTCATCAGGTACATAAACCAAAAAACCAAGCTTGCCGTCTAATTGAAGCTGACTCATAACAACCTTCTAGGGCCTGGTAGAATGGCTGCTGTGGGTTTCTGAAACTGGAACTGTTGACTGGAGGAGAGAGCCTCATCTTGCCCCCACGGAGCCATCGGAGGTTTCAAACAGCTGCCTGTGTGGTTAGCAGCCCAATGTGTAAGCACTGCACCAGGGCTCCTGTATCCGGGGATACAGCAGGCCATTAAGAGTGTCACTACTGGAGCAATGCAAGAAGTAAAGACATCAGCACCTAAGGTCTATCAATCCTGGTCTCTCGGGGAGGTGAGGGAGAACCAAAATGATAGCATGTGTCCTCCCTTAGTTGTTGTTGTTAGGTGCAATCAAGTCAGTTCTGATGGATAGAAACCACGTGCACAACAGAACGAAATACCACACTGCCCTGTGCCATCCTCGCTATGTTCCCGTGCCCTAGTCCATGGTTGCGGCCACTGTGTCGGTCCATCTCATGGAGGGCCTTCCTCTTTTTTTGCTGCCCCTCCACTTTACCAAGCATGATGCCCTTCTCCAGGGACTGACAATATATCCAAAGTACGTAGGACAAAGTCTTCCCATTCTTGCTTCTAAGGAGTACTCTGGCCTTACTTCTTCCAAGACAGACTGGGGTGTCCTTTTAGCAGTCCATGGCTCTTTCGACATTTTCCTCCAGCACAATTCAAACGCATCCTTTTTGTTTTTTCAGTCCTCCTTATTCAGTGTCCCAATTTTCAACTGCTTAGGAGGCAATGGAAATTCCCCTAGCTTGGGTCAGGTGCATCTTAGTCCTCAAAGTAACATCCTTGCTTTTCAATACTCTGAAGAGGTCTTGTGCAAATTTCCTAATGCAACATGCCTTTTGATCTCTTGCCCGCTAATTCCATGAGCATTGCTTGTGGATCCAAGCAAGATGAAATCCTTGACAACCTCAACCTTTTCTCCATTGATCATGTCGTTACCCACTGGTCCAGTTGTGAGGATTTTGTTCTTCCTGACATTGAGTCATAATCCATACTGAAGGCTGCAATCCACTGGTTCTCAACCTTCCAAATGCCACAACCCTTTAACACAGGTCCTCGTGTTGTAGTGACCGCCCCCCCCAACCATAAAATTATTTTTGCTGCTACTTCCTAACTATAATTTTGCTTCTGTTATGAATCGGGTGACCCCTGTGAAAGGGTCATTCGACCCCCAAAGGGGTCGAGACCCACAGGTTGAGAACTGCTGCTGCAATCATTGACCTTCATGGGCAAGTGCTTCAAGTCATCCTCACTTCCAGGAAGCAAGGTTGTGTCATGCGCATATCACAGGTTGTTAATAAGCCTTCCTCCAATCCTGATGTCACACTCTTCTTCATCCAAGTCAGCTTCTTCGATGATCTGCTCAGCATATAGATTGAGAAAGTATGGAGAGAGGATACAGCCTTAATGCACACCTTTCCGGGTTTTCAAACTTGCAGTATTCACAACGGCCTGTTGTTCTCCCTCAGCAATTCCTTTAAAGATGTGGGAAAATAGTAGGCTTCTAAAACCTTTCATTTCTCGTCTCACCACCTGCCCCTACTTTTCTTCCCTGGAACCACCTATTTCGAATCTAAAGACCAGCCTAATTATAACCAGAAACCCAGGTGCTGCCAAGGCGACGCTGACTCAGGGTCGCCCCACGTGTGTCAAAAGAGGCCTAATTATATTGCCTCACAATAAGGGGAGGACAGTGGGCCACAGTCCAAGAATGCCAGGTCCACCTCTGAAAGAAAGAACAAGAAAGGCCACCCACTTAGGAAAAAGGTTAAAAACAGCCCACCAGCTGCGGCGGTGGGAGAATTCTCCATCACAATCAGGGCGGTTGAAGAAAAAGCACAGGGTGACAACTTACTTCTCGTGGTTGACAAGACTCAAATGTCACTTGCCTTTCCCGGCCCTTGAAGGGAAATGAAAATGGCCTTTTTTTCTAGCACTCTAAAGCTCCAACACTATATTGCTCATTTCCCATGTTCAGACTTCGAATGTCACGGAGAGGTGGTAGCAGCATGAAGTAGATACTCTCATTCTGGAGGTGAGTACTGAAGATGCCGTAACCACGGTGACGGCGTACACCTAAGGGAACTTTCACCTAAAGATGGCCAATCAGTAGTGTTACCAAGCCTGGTTGTCTGAAGTTGGCCGTGCTTTTTCCAGACTGTCTACTGGGACCTGACAGCTTCCCCTGCTTTCTGCTCAGCTCATCCCAAACAAGACCTGCAACCAGGAAGGCTCAGAGGGAAGGACATAGAAGACTGACCAGAGGCTAGAGAACAAGACAACCTGCTTATCTCCCCAACATCAGAGCTAACTCAATAACGAACCAGTCACGACTTCAACGTCAGGCAGCTCCCAAAGCTGCGCCCGGAGTTGTGGTCAGCTCCTTGGCGATCCTACGTACAACGTAACCAGTGGTACCTGGTCCTGACTCATCCTCACAGTGACTGGTATGCTGCCACCACTGTGTCATGCCTTCTGGCCTAGGGGGCCCATCCTCCAGCATACGTCTGTAGGTCTCCAAGAAGTGACGCTGTGTACAATTTATGTGATCTAGGGAATCAACAGTTTTGTAAAACAGAAGAATCTATAGGGTTCCAAAGTAATCTTCAAGGTTACATTGCCCACATAAAATTTATCACACGAGCTTCAGGAGACAACAGTTCATCCTAGCACAAAATTCAAAGTATACACAGCTGTCTAATGGCTCCTCCCCAGTGTGTAGTGCATCATAAAATATACAGGTTTTCCCTAGGTTTCTCGATTAGGCCTGGACTGATAGTAGCCAACGATGAGTACAGTGTGAGTTGAGCTGGCTTAGGCAGTGGCTAAAACTGAGA